GGGGGAGAGAAATTGCGCCTCTGTGAGGTGATCGGCGAGGATTATTAACCCCTCGACATTAGGAGTTTTATTATTATTATTATTTTTTTCTTTCTCCAAAAAGAGCGTTTTCCGCGAGCAACGAAAGGGGGGGTGGGGAAAAGGCGAACGAGGAAGAAGGGAATATCGGCGAATTCGAAAGAGAGGAAAAGGGGATCGCGAAAGGGGGAAAAAGAGACGAGCGAGTAGTCCAGAGAGGAACACGAGGAGGAGAGTGAGAAAAAGCGAATGTCATTGCCGTAATCTTCGGACGTTGACTTCCTTCTGGCTCGTCCCTCCTTCCCTCTTGGTCGCAAGCCCCTTCCAACAACCACCTCGACTCCCCCTCCTCCCTCCCGCCGGCTCGTTCTCTTTGTCCTCTCCGTCTCACCTGCGCGTTCCTCCTCGCGATTCTCCGTCTGCTCTCTCGCTCCCTTCACCTTTCCGCGCTGTCTCTCACTCTCTTTCTCTCTCTCTCTCTTTCTCTCTCTCTCTCTTTCTCTGCTGCGCTCTCGCCGCTTCGCCTATCACACCGACCTTCTCTCGCTCTCTCACCCTTTTTCTCTTTAACTCGTGGCTCGTTACGCCAGCCCGTGTGGAGTCTCGAATATTTTCGTAACGATTCGCGCGCGAAGAAGTTGCCGGCCGAAGAAGAAGAAGAGGAAGAAGAAGAAGAAGAAGAAGCAGAAGAGCGAGAGAATTTTAATAAACAGCGCGAGAAAGTAGGCAGATCAGTAGGCATTCTCGAGGAGAGAACGTTGCGAAATATTACGTCGGGGGTCTCTCTCTCTCTCTCTCTCTCTCGGGAGAGAACCCGGGGGGAATGACACAATTGGCTAAGGAAGGGGCGCCGTGATGTGAATTTGAAACGAGCCGTCCAAGCCGGGAATAGAATTCGTTAAAAATTTCAGGACGGACGATTAACTCGTTCGCCGTGGTCGAGTTTTTCGGGTTCGCGAAACGAACTTTCGATCGTGAAAATTAACATGTCAACCGGTGTATATATCGATCGCTCGATCTCCGCCGTCGCTCCCTCTTTTCTCTGCTTTGGAGTTAGCGAACGATGGATCAAATGATTGTTGATTGTTCAAAAGAGTTTGATCGCGCGATGCGTTACAATAAGTTTGCTACGAGTACGGGTCTTCGTACTGGGAATATTAAAGTAAAGTGTTGAAAATCTACGCCAGGAGTATATATGAATATATTGATGTATTATACATAAATTATCGTGATGTTTTCTGACACTACAAAGTTTTTACTTTATTCAAGAATTAACAACAGTTTTAATCTATAGTATAATTTAACAATAAGCACGCTATATGTCAGTATATTTAACTGGATGTCAATATATTTAAGTTAAATTATTATCACTAGATAACAATGCTTATTAAATTTCAGAAAAACATTACTTATGGATACCTCTAATATTTGAAGTTAGATCAAGAAGCGATTCTTCCTAGAAAAGAACAAATTAAGAATTTGAAATGATGGAGAAGAGTCAGTCGAAAGATGGATGGATTTTGATCGAATCGATCACTCATGACTATCATTTTAGCCAAGGGAATTCTGAAATATGAAACTGAGTAATTGCGAACTGTGAACTGTCCATGAGATCCATCCACTTTGCTATGTACATCAAACTGAGAAGTTCAAATTTGGGGAGTTCATGTAAGAATAACGAGCTCTTATAAACTATGTAGATCTCTAGTGACAAATTAAACATTTGCACGTTAACGAAACGTAAAAATTATTTTTAAGTGGGCTATTATTAAACTTTAAGTAAATTACTAATGCTCGTATAATCCAATTCTTGCACAATTCTTTCCATTGCAATTTCTCCTAGAAATAAATAAAAAAAAAAAAATACCATTCCTCGAGGACCAACTAAAAAGTCACTCCTATCTAGATCCATTCAATCGAACCAATCGCCCCAAACATCTCAGAATCACGACTATTTCTCCCCTGTGTATTCTTTCACGAGCCAAAAGACAGGCGCGTCTTCACAAATGGCGAAATCACGACGAAGCACCAGGCTATGATTTAAAGTCTCGCGGTGTACATACACGAGAGAGGTGTACTCGCCTCGGGATATACATTACCCGCGGTATAATCCGCCGCGGATGATTTATAAATCGAGTGAATCGCGATTTGGCACGAAGCAAAAACGGTAATCGCGAATTAGCATTTGCATCAAAGGGTTGGCAGGTAAAGGGCGAGAAGAAGAATGAAAGAAAAGAAAAGATGGAGGAACGAAGACAGAGAGAGAGAGAGAGAGAGAGAGAGAGAGA